ACCCTAAAGAATCTGCATGGGGCTGAATTTGCGATCCTGCTACCCTGCAACCAAAGACTGCAAACCGATGGTGCAGCGTGCCGGGATAGGGGCTGCGCCCAGGGGCGGGCAGCGCAGGTAGCAGCCCGGAGATTGCCCCTCCGCCGAGCCCCGCTGATGCTGATGATGCGCGCCCTTTGAGGGCTTCCGCAGCTCACTCAACAATTGGTAAAGCATCGCCTTGCGCTGAGTGGGCGGTTGCGAGCGCGCCGGGTCGCCCACGGGTCCCCCAAAACCCCCCACACCGTGGGGAATGGCCGCAAAACGCGTGCGTTGCCGGGTGAGCCTCCAAACGAGGTCCCGCGCGGCCCGGTGGAAAAACACAGGTCCGATGGAGCCGGAGGCTTCTTTCAGACCAAGATAGCCAAGCAATCTGGCAATCTTGGTATCCAAGAAGTAGTGGGGCAAGGGAGCAAGATTGCCAGCAATCTTGCAATCCTGGTCTCCAAAAGGTAAACTAGTCGGCAGGCAAATGGGGCAGGTGAGGTAAAATGACCAAGATTGCCAAAATTGCTTGGCAATCTTGCTCCCCCCCGGCTGACCAAGATTGCCAAGGTGACCAAGATGGCTCCGTCAATTAATTCTTCGAAATTCCCGGCGCAATGCGATGGTACATGTCAGCCGGACAAATTCTAGCACAGGAACAACCCGAACCAAACCTTCAGCTGAACGCTTTTAGCTCTACTCATCCTAATCTGATACCCAAATGGTTGGGCTCTTGGCAAAACCTCGCCCAATCCGACCTTTGTCCGGCGCTACTGTAGGGTATGGAGTATTTCTTTGAGACCCGCCACTGGTAGAAGGATAGCATCAGTCAGGAGCAGGAAGAGGCTGAAGAAGTCCTGCCCAAGAAGATTAAAAGGTAGCAACAAACACAGAACGCAGCAGCACACTGTAGGTTGAACAAGACTGGCAAGGCCTGCTAAAACAATTTTGACTTGCAGTGTCAATCGTGGGGTGCTACTTGGGTTCTTTTGAGCGGGTGTGGCAAAGGAGCAGTGGCTGCCATGTCTGTCTGACTGCTCGGCAAAGTGTAGATGACACTGTGAGCTACCTCTGCTAGGCAATTGTCCCACCGTGCCAAGCAGTTGCTGCTCTTGCGGCTTATCCGGTACTGAGGCTTTGTAGGGGACTATTGGTGTCGTTGGCAGCATTGCCTCTTGCTGCCTTCCAGCTTCTCTGAAGTAAAGATACGCAAAGTATGATGAAGATGAGTTCAGTTCAGCGGATACATAGGCACCTCCAACCACGGCCAAATCCAACCCATTCGACAACATGCCGCACGAACTGGAGTTCAGGGCCACCCCCCCAGAAGGGAACGCAACAGTCAAACTCTGTGGTTTTGTGCTATGCTAGAGTTGCAACCCGTCAGCAGTTCAGCAGTTGCTTAGGCTAAGGATTCAAGGCGACGGTCTCCCTCTCGGAGCAGGAAAGGCTCCCAGGCAAAAATGATCAGTTCAGTCTACTTGTGGGGTTGACCCTCGAACCCTTTCATCGGGCATAGGGATTTTGAGGCTTCCGGGTCATATGGGTGTGGCGTTGCTTCTTCAAGGGCTCTTTTCGTGTGCAGCTTTAGAGCTTTAGGGTTTAGGGATTGAGGATGGTCTTGCACCCAGTCGGGAACCCTTCAGAGGGTCCCAGCAGATTCGGAAGTTTCCCTCGGGATGCCTTGGCTGAAAGCGGCCAGTCAACTTCAGGCTTCTATGGCTTTCCTAGAGCTCAGGCATTCGGTGATCCCGGCAGCTGCCTTGCCTAAAGCGCTATGCCAGGGTTTAGTGTCTCAGGGTTCGGGACTAACAGGGTAAGAGTACCGCTAAACAGCCCTAAATACTAAACCTTAGACCCTAACCCCTAAACATCCCTAAACCCTATACTAGGGTTTTGGGTTCATAAACCCTAAACCCTAGTCTTCAGCACTGAGAAGCTGGAGGGAGTAGCACTTGACGACCGGCTGGTTCTCTTGATCTAAGACATCTACTACTGGCGCCCTCTAATTATTCGGATTCTTGGGGAGTTTAGTTTGGATAGTAATGACAGTTTAGGGTTTAGGAATTATAATAAGGAACCCCAAGAAAACGTTTGGAATCATTTGGGTTTTTATATTAGCAGTACTCCTGAGAAATGGGACGACGCGGCCGTCTTTCTGCTAGCGTTGGAGCTTTGAGGGTCTCCACAAATAGGGATTGCTGAAAGTAGGGGACCCTAATATAGTACCCTAAATAATAGGATCCTTAATGTAAGGACCCCAAAATAAGGTACCCCTAATTTTTGGAAACTCCCAAATATGAGAGATTACCGGTGGTGCGGAGTGCAGCCAAGGCCCTGGGCAGGCATTAGCCTGCCAAACCTCTACACCTAACCGTTGCGGGGAAGACTATGTAGGGAGTATAGCACGCCCAAAAGCTTAAATATTTCTTGCTCTGTTGCCAAGGACGTATATGACATGGCAAAGCTGATTTGGATGATGAAAGACATCCGGCACTCTTGACGCAGGATACCCAACCTCATAGGCTTGTCGGAAAGCCGTTGAGTTTGGCATACTCTTCAGCACCAATCTTCAAAATTCGCAGAGTTGAGTTTTAGGGTGACCCACAACTTTCCTGAACACCCAGGATGTGTGCCAAGATTCAAGGGTCGTCGGCAGAAGGGCTCATCAAATCCTGGCGGAGCCACGACAAGAAGGAACTTCGCTAAAGTGCAAGGCTTTGGTGGTGGGGCCTACTATACGGGCCTAAATTCTTACCTACTGTATACTCTTTTGGGGGTTCCTTATGATAAGTATAGTATAGTGGGCCCCCAAACCTATATTCTATTATTGCAAGGGGGGTTTGGCACAGCCGGCAGCGCAAAGCTAATAGACTTGTCCGAGGATAGCGACTGAGCTATACATCCCACTCGTCCAAAACGCTGAGCGCCATAGGCCCAAGGCCGTACGACTATATGATGAAACTGATCTCCGGCTGTGGCCACCATGCTGCAGTTGAATTCAAGGATTTCGGTTCAGGTGTCCACCTTACAGCATTTTCGACATGCTGCTCAGTATTCCAACTGAACCTTGCTCTGTCTTCTCAGTGATACGAAAGCATTTCGAAGACCACTGAGCATCAAAACAAATGCCCACCAACTCGACTGCAGCATCTACACCCCACTGGTCAAGCCTTGCAGCATTCCAAACCCCGAACGCAGCAAACGACAAACCCTGCCAAGGGGCGTAGTGTGGAATGATCTCCACGAACACACAGATACAACCAACATGTCAGCAAAAATGAGATGCCCTCATCCGGTACTAAGCCCACAGATAGAAGTACCATGAAGAGCATAACCATTTTTCAGCACGGACTGAGGTGCCGGCCAGCGCCCATGCAACCCTCACCCCGTGTTAAGGCAAGAGCAAACCTGAAACCCTGATCCCGTAATATCATCTTCAGAGTCGCAAGCATATTTAGAGCCTTCCGGCCTTGGTCAGAGATGTTGAAGGAGCGCTTGGTATTGAGTCTCCTGCGACAGGCCGGGACTGAGAGCATGCCTCACACCCTTTTTTTGAACCCATGCCTCACACCCTAAACCCTAAACCATGTCATTTTAACTTGCTTTTCAAGGGTTTTAGTTTATTTACGTCGGCTCTCTTCCTCTCTGAAGCAGTCGGAATACTTTTTTGGGGGTAGCCACCGCGACCTCAAATTCAGGTTCCAAGCCATCCGAGGAGGTGCCTGGGATTTCGGGAGTGGCCACGAAGGACATGACGGATCAACCCCGGTGCGTCCGATAGAACTTCAAAGGGTACATTAGAGCAATCCGGAAGCACGCGCACACACACACACAAACACACGCAACCGCACGCACGGTCAAGGAACCAAGATAGTATTCAACTCGAGCAAAGACCCTAAACCCTTTTGCAACTGGCTTGCAACGTCACTCCAGGACCCTTTTTAAACCCTTATAAACCCCTACACCCTGAAGTGTCAACCTCAGAAGAAGTGGGGGTTCTCCTCACCGTCTCATACCCCATAGAAAAGCCAGAGCAGTGTGTCGACAGCTGCATCCTCGGAAGCGTTTTGGGCTTGGGGTTTCGACACTCACACTCGCACAAAGCCGGCAAGGCTCCGTATAGTTCTATCCGCAACTACAAAGAGAGAGGGAATGAGCCAAGACGAACAAAGTAGTAATTAAGAGGCATAAACATCAGTAAACAGGGCATTACAGGATATATAATCCATCTCCCAAGTTCTCGGTAGGTTGGAGCATTGCTGAGCTGTTTCAAAATGCAGTGTCTGAAGAACTCCTCACGTCGACTACCACAGTACATCTCACACACTCGCACTGTCCAGCCTAGGAGCAACAAAACTCAAAGTCAACTAAATAAAGCCTTGACAGTGACTGACAGTGAACATATAATCAGTCCTTCCTGCATAAGTGGTGAGTGCATTGGGGGTGCGGAACAGACAACAGAGTTTTAATAGAAGCTGCACGTACTCTCGACTGCATGTTCATTAGCAGCGGGCTCACTGGGGCTTTCTTGAGAAAGGCCCCTTCAACTACATTCGGCGCCGACCTGGCGCGAAATGTTTGGGGTGGAACTTGTCTGTGCCAATCCAACCCGTCCAGTGGTGTTCCTGAGCCTTGATACTGCACCTAATCACCAGTTAGTAGTATTAATCTTGATAACATATGATAACTTTGGCTTCCGTTCGTCCGAGACAACGGATTCAGCATCTCACGCCACTGGACATAGTAGAATGATGTCAGGCATGCCAAAACCTCGCAGATCCTGGCCCCAGTAGTTGGCGCACAACTCCAGTACTTCAGGGTTTGAGCTTGTAGGTAGCAGCTCTTATTATCATGTGAAGCGGACAAACGGTTTGCCATGCCATGACATGAGCAGGTATAGAGACGCGGAGGATGACAACTGGCATCTTCCATATTCAAAGGATCTCCCTACGCACTTCTGGCGTCAAGTGGAACTAGGATTTCTGGCCCATGAGAGCCATGATTTGCTTCTTTAAGTCGGTGATCTCGTCCTTCTGCTCGCTCAGCGTGCGTGCATCCTGCAGCTGGCTCTGAGCTGGCTGCCCTTTCAACTCGGCGATCTGCTTCTTCAGCTCTGCGATCTCCCGATTCTGTTCGTCGATCTTGCGCTCATCCTGCACCTGCTGGTTCTGGAGCATCTGGGAGTTTCCGAAAATACGGGGTACCTTATTTTGGGGGTCTTTATAATAAGGAACCTATTATTTAGGGTACTATATTAGGGTCCCCTATTTTCGGATCCTGCACCTGCTGGTTCTGAAGCATCTGGTCGGTGTTGGACGGCCCACTTGGCACCGGCACCGGAAGTGGGAGTCCTCCACCGAAGCCAAAGCCAAATGGACTGTAGCCAAAGCCGCCGAAGCCGAAGGGCGAGATCACAGGGCTGCCGATGCCGATGGAAATGTTTGGTCCACTCCTCAACCGGGCACTGCCGCTGTTCTGGCGCGCAGTCGGTGGTGGGCGGCTGCTGGGCCTACTGCGGGGCACGGACATCCTTGGTGCCGACCGCATGCCTGACATCCTGCCGCCCATGCGCCCACCAGATCTTGCAGCCTCTGCACTGTCCAATGGCAGGAGCGTGATCACAAGAGCCAAGCAAGCGGCGGCCGACATCTTGAGAAATGTGGTCCAACTGGATGCCGCATTGCTGTTTGCTTCCGGTTCCGAATGTCCACCACCAACGTCATTCTGCCACTTGGCTTGGAACTTTGCCCGCGGCACGGCCTGAGCTGGTTTTGTGGTAGGCGGCACGAAACCCAAACAGCAAGTAGTGACAATGGCACCAGCTCCAACGATTCGCAACGTTCTTGTTGCAACTCGGGCCATCGTGTCAATTGGAGAAGCTGGAATGCTGACACTCGGAAGCAAAACTATGCCCTGAGCCAAAATGGCTACGGTTTGGGGTCTTGTTCCCTCCTAGGGTTTAGGGTGTTGGGTTGGGGTTATTGTGAAGGCCATGTCAGAATGAAGTGGAAAGCACAGTAAGTAAGACAAACTCAGTCCCATTAAGCTGATGCAGCAACAAATCCCATCACACGCACACTGCATCGCCTCACAACAAACATTTCGCCCGAGTTGTACAAACCTAAAGTGACGAGCCATGAGCTTTTGAGACTGAAACATCCGATCAGGATCCCTATGCAGCCCACACACCAAAGCTCATCACTTTTCAGAAGCCTTGCAGATCCAGTGCCTCCTGTTACCTGTTTTGTGAAAACCTTGCACCAAACAACATCTGTGACAAGTTTTTTGAGAAGCAGCTAGGAACCCTAAACCCCAAACCTTGCACTCTAAGTCTTAATATACCTTTAAGCCCGAAGCTCGAAGCCCCAGTACCGGACCTGAAGCTCACCCCCAAGTCCTAAAGCAGCAAAAACCCGGGACTCCCATCCCATCGCATCGAAACCCCGCAAATCCGCCCCCCCCCCCCCCCC